AGCCTACCTCTAACTTTTTCACACCATCCCTGATTTCTTCTGCCCTTTGGGAAAGAAATGAATACTGAGGAACGCCATAAATGTGTTCCCTAGTACTGCTCCATTCTAGGAAAGGAAAGACCAGAAACTGTTGGCGTGTCAGAATATACCTGTTTTTACTAACCCAGCATCTACCAAAAAGACAGCATTGGAGCGGTAATGTTTCCTTGTACTTGTACGCAGTCTGCTCTAATGCTCTAGCATCTGCTTACATGTATATTTAAGAGCATACAAATGCATAAGCTGTTCACATAGCCCAGAAAACTCTGTGATAAATACCTGGTACATACTTGGGGTGTATGACTAGGTATTATCTTGAATTGCAGTGGACCTGCAGAGATGAACATCATCTGGAATATCACTGAAGCAATCGTTAAAAATGGAGATACTGTTTTTTTACTGGGAAGACAGAATTGAAGCCAGTAGAAAAGCTGTTAGGATAAAATTACAGGCAGCAAGTCAAATAATGTGTCAGGTTTAACCTGTGTGTGCAATTGATAAGCACTGATAAAGATAGATTGTCATGACAGGATATAAAACAGAGACAGTAGGATGATTCAGTAGCCAAATACGAACCGATTTAAATTCATAAAAATCAATACAAATCAGAATCTAATGACACATAACCCACCCTTCATTCTCATGTCTCCTTTAAAGGCTGACACTTCGGAATTCATACATTTCTAGGGCTTGACTATTGGAAAAGGAATTTACCTACTTGGCTTATTTTATGTTAAAGGAAATTTGTTTCACCTCACATCAATACAATGTAATATCTAACTAAAATTCATCAGAACAAGTTTCCACTGTAACATCCCAAAAACCTAGTTGATATATTTTCATTCTCATTTATCTTTCAAATGCTAAAACATCTGGACCATCAATTTAATTTCACTAGTGACATATCTGTGCAAGAAAGTGGTTTTGTTATTAAATACCTTTGGTCATTAAATGGATTAGCTTGACTGCCTAAAATTAGCTCCCTAATTATTATTATGAATAGAATAAAGCAAAGTAGATGAATCTCATGAGAATCCTATAACACAACAACTTTTTAACTACACAGTTTTATTTTATATCCTTTTTAATGCTAGGATGACTTTAAATATACATCAGGCATTTAACACATTTGTGACATAAAGGAAGTGGAGAAAAGAAAGAAGTATAAAAAGGAAGACTAGAAGAAACATAAACCAGCCATGGCTACAGTAATTCAGGAGTTACTCTGAACGATTTACTTGTAGATGAATGAAATTACTCCATACCTCAGACAAGACCATTCGTGACGATACATCCTCCCATTACCTGTACAGCCTATATGGAATATATATTTTACTCAATGAAGGTGTTGAGAGGGAAATAATACAGGAAGACTATTAAGAGAAGAATCAATTTAGTTTTATACAGGTATCAAAAATTAAATAACATTACATTTAGAATATCACAGTATACTCAGTTAAGTATCCAAATTTTCCTTATTTACTAAACTAACCCTTAATACATTTTAAAAACTCGTCCTTCAGGTTCACAGGACAACCACTTACTTTTCCTTGTGCAGTGCTGGGGAATAAATTAGAACATTCCTAACGAGACAAGATATACAAATATATAAGAATTGACAGGCTGGGTGCGGTGGCACATGCCTTTATAATCCCAGCACTTGGGAGGCTGAGGCAGGAGGATCACTGCAACTTTGAGGCCAGCCTAGGCTACAAAGTGAGTTCAAGGCCAGCCTGGACTGCATAGTGAGACCTTGGCCCAAAAAATACCGAAAACAACAATAAAAAAAATTTACAAGATTGTCTTACAATGGCCACCCACAGAGTCAGAAGTGGAGGAGTGCAAAAGGTTTGTCCACACACTGGTCCCGAACGATCCAACTGAAGACCTGGAGCTCACTGCAGTGCCCAGTGGGAGTCCGAATCAGCAGGCTGAAGGGTCTGCACTGAAAGCTGGGAGCCGAAGCCCAAGGACATTCCTTCTTCCCCTCCCGTTTACACTGTTCAGGTGACAATCCTCCTTCCCTAGGGTGGGTCTACGCTGAACCAAGTTAGTTGCGCATTTCTTACTCAAGTTGCCACAATCAGTTAACTTCATGGAAGGGAGTCACAGAAAGGGAGGCAAGACTGGCAACAGCAAGGTCATGGCTTGGTACCGGAAGATTCTTAGCGATCCTTTAATTGTAAGTAGCGATTTCTCATCATTCTCTTAGGTAAAAAGCTCTACACTGCAGGTCTTTGAGTAGGGAAATCGGATTCACATTAAAAGGAGCCATACTGATATTTTTTTTAAGCATGTGTGATGTTCTAATCCAAATAATTTCCCATTTAGGAAAAGCTTATATGATGTTGTATACTATCGACTATAAGTTCTATATTGCATAAAGTTGAAATCCTTGGTGTTTTTCTCAGAAAGTTTTGGAGAACTGTTTTATTATGAACAGAGTTATATTCATATTACCAACATCAGATTCAGAGTTACTGTTGAAAAGCTGAAAGTTAACCTGAGTTAAAATCTTAAGTATGAAACATTTTTCAGGTTAACAATTCTATAACACTTGTCATTTATTACACAGAAGAAAGGGTTGTCATTTTATGTTTCATCTGAACCACAAACAAGAAACTGTTGGTGTGGAAAGGTCCTTGCTAAAACACAGACCAACTTCCTCTGAACGGGGAAAATTTTTAAATGCCACTGAATGAATTTCACACTGTAGGTAGACCGAATACTAAGGACTGTGCTCTGAGTTGGTAGCACCTCTTGCTACCTGATACAGTTATTTCCAAAAGATGAAAAATATTAACAAAAGATGAGAAATATAAAATAAAAAGCAGCCTTTATTCTGAGAACACGGAGAGAGATGACCGGCACCCCCACCGCTGGCGTCCGGTGATCTCTCTGGCGGACACGTGGCGTGGGGGCCTGTAAATAGCCTGGGTTTGGGGTGGAACCTAAGGCGGGCATTAGGAATACACAGGTAGCCCATTGGTCCTAGGTTTGGCGCCATATGTAAATTCCCAGGGGCGGGAAGATGGCGTCACAGGTAACTTCCTAGGGGCAGGGCAAGATGGGCTTCCTGCTTCCGGTTGTGGCTTTCCTGGCTACAGTGTCCTGTCTGGGCCAAAACCTTTCACTACCTTGTGTTTAATAAACTGATTTGGCTTTTATACAAGTTCTATGTTCTAGCCTTAACTTGTCATGGCTTCGTACCAGCAGCCGACAAGACATTAATTTTCCTGATCCTAGGGAACAGATATTACATAAGATGCATGAATTTTAATGCCTATTATGGCATAAAATATGTAACTGAACAGTAAGAAATATCAGTCAAGCAAAATACACATTTAAAAGAGTATGGCTCCAGTGTTCCAGAAGTGAGAAATAAAACAGATTTCAAAATATGATTGAACTGGGGTTGTAGCTCAGGAGCAGAGTGCTTACCTACCATGTGAGAGAACCTAGCACTGCCAATACCTAGCACTGCTAAAAAACAGAGATTAAGTTAATGTTGCCTTAAACAAATTAAATTATAAATTTTTACCAACCATAAACGTATATCTAGACATTTGCAAACAGAATTTACTTAGGAGGAATATTTTAGAAAACTTTTAAATTGCTATTAAAAAACATACATATGAAATGAACCTATATTACAAGGTACATTGTAAGTGTGAGAAAGGAGAGAACTTCGTATTATGGATCTAGAATTTTACCATTCAACAGCAATTTATTCAGTATTCTTTTTTTTTTTTTTTTTTTTTTTTTTTTTTTTTTGTCTTTTTCCTTTTTATCGGTACCGGGGATCAAACTCACGACTGCTTGCTTGCAAGGCAGGCGCTTATGCCACTGAGCTAAATCCCCAGCCCCCTTTATTCAGTATTCTTTCAGAGCCCTGATAGCTGCTTCCTCTCCAAATTTCTAATCTAAATCACTGTCTAGTTCAATATGACCACACAAATATCCAGTCTTCTCAGGGTCTTCTGTATTTCTGCCTGCTTAATTAGTCTATTCTGACATTAATGCATGGTCCAGGATTGCTGTCTGGTTGGTCTCCTTTGAAGTCCCACAATTATGGAATCCTATTATCTCAAAGACATTTTTTCTTGGTGAATTAGAGAAGGGCAAGGATGAGAAGGAATATTTATCTTCTCCTTGTTCTTTAAGTTTTAAACAGAATTTGATATTGTTATTCCTAAATGCAAAGAATTGCATGACATCGTGACAAATTGTCAGTGGTAATTGGATCTTTTCTTTCTTTTCTTTTTAAAATTTTGTCTTTAGCAAATAATCTCAAGGAAAATAAAATATCAGATGTGATATTCCTTTACTTACAGGTTACATCGACTTTTCTTTGTAAGTCTAACTGTTCAAACACACTGCCAAGAATGAAAAATAAAACCTTCATTGGCTTTATTTGATGGTAGGAACAGCCTATATTGTTATTCCATAACAAATCAGGAAAGAAAGACATCAATTACTAATGATCACTGATAGCTTCAAGCTATCAGCATATATAAATGCATGTACAAATGAAGAAAGAAATTATACTTCTCCCATAGAAGATATTGCAAAGTAAGGAAGTAGCCTTCAAACTTGGTGGAGCTTCAGAATCATCCGGTGGCCTTGCCAAAATAAAGATTTCCATCCTCTCCAGGAAGTCTGGGAAGATTGCCAAGAACCTGTGGGTGTAAAGGCCCCAGTGATACTGACTTTGCTGATATGAAACCACCCTGTTGAGAGCCACTGGGATAAAAGGTGCTAATCTGTCCCTTGATTTGCTTTAGAGATTTTTTAAACTAACCAGTGATATCCACAAGAGTAATGTTCAAAGGATGTCATACATCTGTAACCACTTTCAGTGCATCTCTGTTCAACAAACCAAAGTGACCAATACAAGCAAAGAATTTGTCTGATTGTCTGTTTCCTTAAAACCAAGATGACTAGAACATACCTAATCCTACCTTGGCTCAGAACTCTACTTTTCCTTCAAGAAGACACTAGTCCTGATGTCTTAGTGAAAGGCAAACTTTCTTCTCTACTCTGAATCCTCTGTGCCTGTGCTTTATGTTTATGAGCATGTTATGACATCATAGAAGGAAGTAGATACAGAAATCCATGGCAAGTTACTTAGCTGAGTCACAATTTCCCTACCCAAACAAACAAAGATAATAAACACTTTTCCTGGTTACAGAGAATAGTTGGATTAGTTACGTGTAACATCCAAGCACAATGCCTAACACATAAGAAGTTTCTCCAACTGCTGGCAACTTCTTTCTACCTTCCTAGAATTTCCAGTTTTTACATGTTATTTCATTGATCATCTCTATGTCACCTGTACTTCATAATATCTCCTGCCAACCCAGAGTGTCCTGAGCAGAAACTAAGCCAGTAAAAGATGTTAGAGTTTTCTGGTTTTCAGAAGGCAGAGAAATACAAAGGGGATAAATGGATGGTTGCTTATAAGGAAATAAGAGATCTAGAAATCAGCATGGTGGTTTTACTGACCACCACAGGTAACCCACTTCTGACATAAGCCAACAGGAGAGACCATGTAACAGGTGAGAGTTGTAAATCAAGGGCACTGCTGCAAGACAAGCTGGCTTTGTTCACCTTTGAACTCCCCTGTGGCCAGTGTTACTGCCATGTTTTCATGGATCTCTGTAGGGCAGTTAGTTTACATGGTCCATACATGATTGGAAAAAAAAATAAGAACAAGTATATTTTATTTACCCCTTCAAACAATATCACAGTAACTTATAGATTCAAATCATCAGCCTGGCAGGTTTGAAAGACACTGTATAATCAACCATCTCTATCCAGATCAGACATCCCCACATTCTACCATTTGTGATCAAAATTTTTTGGAAAAAAGACCGCATTTTTACTGAGGATATTCAAGTTTTTTTATTCCTTGTAATTTTTTCCTAACCAATACAACAACTATTTGCATAATATTTATATTGCATTTAGAAATGATTTCAAATACTCAGGAACATTGCCTAAGTTATATGGCAAGTATGACACTATTTTATGTAAGATATTTGAGCATCTTTAAGTTTTGGCTCTATGAAAGTCCTGCAACCAAAGGATAACTCATCTCTTAGGGACATGTTGTCATCTGCATGCTACCTCTACTAACAATGAGACCCGGAGTAAATCTCAATTTCTTGAGTCTGTGACACTCATGTGTAAGATGGGTACAATGGTTCCTGCCTAACCTACCTTTCATTATTGTTCTAGTACATACCAAAATTCTTTGACAAGTAAAACATTTAGGATCAATGTAATACAGTATTGATGTTAAATAACTATAATCAAGTCAGTGTTCATGTATGGCTGATAACAATATCCTTGTGATGCTTTCACTTAGGCAACATGAAGTCGGGAACATACGTGCCTTGGTGGCACAGCCTGTGACAGGACTCAGGCTTGCCTCTTTTTCCACTACTGTAATAAACATCTTTTCCAAGCATTGTGGTTGACCAGCAGATTTCTGTAGAAAGAATTCTACTTTTCACTTATTTAATTTACCAGTAGGACATTATCACATGAAAGAAAGATTGAAAATAGTAAAATTTCAAACTTCTGAGGAAGAAATTAGCAGGACATCCTGCACCCCGGGCACACTGAATGTGTGGACCTAGTACTGGTTGTTAAATGCTTACTGCACTTGCAAAACCACAGAGCCCCTCAATAATCTTCTGGTGCTGGATTTGATGCTCCAGTTAAGTCAGTCTACACCCACCTGTCACAAGCTCAGATAACAGCAGTTCCTCTCACCATAAATTTCCATCAGCCTGCATGCAAAATAACTTCCCCTCTTGCCTGAAGTGCGGCTGATTTCTGGAGCTGCCATATCCAATTTGGCCAGTAGGTGCTGCCATGGAAACACACTAGATTTTCAAGCATCGACACAAATTCAGTCTCAAGCTTTGGAAGAAAAAAAAAAAATCTGGGTTTCAAATCTGATAAAATATTTCCCCCCATAGTTATAGTTCCCTAAAGTTTGTCAATTCTGAAGGCTGTGATTATTGTCCTAATTTACTTAATACAAGCCAGCCTGAAAAACACACCTCTCCAGAGGGCAGCCAAAGCAGTGGATTCTTACAGGTGTTTCCCTGTACTCCAAATCTAAGGAGCCCCTTAAGTTCAGTCACATCAATGCCAGAGGCCTAAAAAAAAAAAAATAGCAATGAAAGATTAAATGAAAGCAGTAAAGTAAAACTCCTGACTCCCCAAGAACTGTTATAATGTAGAGATCTCTGTGAAAGCTCATTAAACCCTCCGTATGTGAAGCAGGGCTCAGGCAGAATTAAAATGAAGATAATAGACACCACAGTCATCCATGCTGACTTGTTTGTAAAACATTCAATAATCAAAATTCTCCACGGAAATTCCACACAACTTCCCAACAAATTATAGGCCCGAATTAGCAGTTCTAGTTGAACCACCACCCAGTTTAGCATTTATATGCTGTAAGATACCGTTATTTTTAGTCATACCACTGACCCGAAGCAATACTATCAAAAAAGCAATTCAAACTAAGTTCTTCTCCCTGATAATGAGCCAGCTGAGTCGTTTTCATAAAAAACATTAGTCCCTATAAACCATGGATATCCAGTACATCTGAGAAATTGAAGTCATTAGATGACAGGTGTGTTCTGAGAAAAGCCAGTCTGATTAGCTTGGTTTTCCCAGCACTTTAATTTTCTGGAAAATTATCATAAGAAAACCTATGCTCCAAACAGAACCGGACTAGCAATTAAGCCTTGTACAGTATTCTCCAGACAAACAGAACCAGTAGAGTGGGGATGACGGTGTGAGTGCGTGAGTGCATGGTGGAGAGAGAAAAAAATGAAAGTAGGGAAAATACCCTAAGGAACTGGCTCGATGAGTTGTGGAGCAGGGTAAGTCCTGAGTTTGTAGAGTATGCTGGAGACCCAGGCTTCCAGGAGTGGACGCTCAGTCTAGGGTCATGTACAGGCAAGATCGCTTCTGTCTTACAGGCGGTCGGGCTTTATTCTCTTTTTTTTTTTTTTTTTTTTTTTTTTTTTGTCTTTTTCCTTTTTAATGGTACCAGGAATCGAACTCACGACTGCCTGCTTGCACGGCAGGTGCTTATGCTGCTGAGCCAAATCCCCAGCCCCTATTCTCTTAAGGCATCACTCTGATTGGGTGAGGCCCCCTAATAGCTTCATGTTATCTTACCTCATTAAAGACCATGTCTCCAATTGCAGTCCCATCCTAGGGTGCTGGGGGTGACTTCATTGTATGAATGTGCTGGACACAATTCAGCCCATAGATGTCTAGATAGGTTTTATGGCAGTCACAAAGAAAAGAGAGAAATGGGGTAATTTGGTGAACACACTTATTTCTTGGAGCAGTGATTCTCCAAGTGTGGTGCCAGGCTCAGAGTCATCAGTGCCACGTGGGAAATATTAGCAGTGCACATTTTCCAGAACTCACCTGAGTGCTTCTAAATCTGTGGCTGGGGCCCAACAATGTGTTTTCACAAGCGCTCCAGGTGAGTCCGATGAAGCTAAAGTTCAAGAACAGCTGCCTTAGAAGTTGTTTGGTTGCAGGACTGAGCCCACCTAAGAAAGTTTCCAGCCAATGAGAATGTAAATGTTGCTTCAACTGTGCTTTTTCATTAAATATATTAAGCATACTGAGTCATATTTTATAAATGGGCTTTGAATACATTTTACTCCTGTAAATTGGAAATTAAGTCAGAGTTCCAAGGATAAACATCACAACAGTACAAAAAATTCTGGCCTCTGAACACAGTTTTCACAGGGTAAAGATAAGACTGTGAGTACCCAATAAAGCTAATTTATCAAAAACAGTCTAATTGCTGTCTGTCTGGTTGGAGGCCTCAACTACCTTATGCAATTCCTGGAAATGGCACACTAAATGAAAATGGTTACTAAAATTTATTCCACTCTTCTTATAAATGAAATACTAAACACAAAAGTACTGAGCGTCAAAACATTATTCTGTGTCCTCAAAACGCCATGCCACTAAAACAATAATCTTTATAAATTCAATGGACAATAAACAAGCCTTTCCTTATCCCCCTTGGGAATCTACACTGTAGGATCAGAGGCAAATGTAATTCCCCTGAGTCATTGCTAAGCCTTGGTAGATGTCAGATATACAAACAAGCACACCCATGAGCAATTAACCAGAGAAGTCACCTTCAGTTGAGGCATATATGCTATGTAGTGGTGAGGTGCGTGTCACGGAAGGTAGAGTTTCTGTCCAGGAAGCTTGCATCACTTGCCTAACACAATTTTTAGCCCATAAGATACCAGATGATACTATCTAGTGTAATTGAAGTTAATACTCATAATTATTCCTATAAATTATATGTCAAGAGTTTGTCAGGTCTTCAGGATAAAAGCTTATTATTTATGGAACCTACTTTTTATATTAGTTATCAAAAAAAAAAGATTGTCAAGGAGCCCTTCCCTTTGGACTGGAATCTAAACCTTCCTCGTGACACTGTCACAGAATGACAACTGAGAGATTAATATATTTGGGCAGGCCCTGTAAGAGTGAAGCGCCCGAGCTTTTTGCATTATTTAACTGTGTCCAGATGGAATAGAGCACATTCTTTTACTGAGCAATTACAGCAGCAGTCCATCACTTAAGAAGTTGCTGTTCGTTGCCACATGAAAAAGAGCAGTCCCATTTCTGAAAGCTAATGCTCTGTCATTTGTAAATAAAGAAAGTGTTTGTCATCACTTTTCTAAGGAATTGGAGGTATTTGATATGAATTTTCTTTTACTCTTTCCTGATCAAATGAAGTCTGCAGAGGCTGTGCACACTCTTGTGCAGCGTTGGCATATTTTAAAATCATAGCATTTCACAGAACCAAAAGTATTTGTAAGCATAAAAATTTTCAATTTCTAATATTCCAAATAGGTTAGGATGCACATTCCCTAGGGCTCTTAGATTTTTTTTAAACAGGCACCATTTTAATCAAAGACTCATGATTTAAATATTAATTTAACTGGCATTATATAATC